AGAGAAAAGCAGGGGAATAGAGGGCCACTTGGAGTTGTTTGATAGGACTTATTCATGGAAAACAAGACAACAGCCTCTTTGCACCAACAATCTAAAGAGCAGCAGTTGTTTGGTTTTTTTTTTAACTGCTATTATGTGTGAGAGCTCATGCTCAGGAGCAGAAGGCAAGCAGCTCATGCTCAGGAGCAGAAGGTAAAGATAAGTCAGTTTTGAATCTGTCTCTGATGTCATCTGAAAGAACTCCCTCTTGCAAGGGAGTCTACTCCTTTCCTCAGGATAACACAACAGTGAGTATTTTATATGTTTGAAACATGTATATCAGGCCTAGCCACTGTAAGAAGAAGGTCCCTCCCTTCATCCACCATCATCGAGGGAGAGAGGGCAGGCCAGATCCACTGGATCTAGTCTGAACAAGAAGAAGGGTCCTCCCTCCAGTTCATCTGCCTTGGTCCAGGCTTTTGAGGGAGAGAAGATCTGCTGGACTTATTCCCCTTCCCCATCACCATTCCCTTCTCCTTTTGTGTCTTGTCTTTTTAGATTGTAAGCCTGAGGGCAGGGAACCGTCTAATTAATCCATTTGTAAGCTGCTCTGATAGCCTTTTGGTTGGAGCGGGGTATAAATACTTCATAATAATAATAATAATAAATACATTTCCATGTTAGTAGAAGAAATGTATAAACCTGCCCCAAGGTGGAGACACAGGAGTGCTCATCCTGGAATTGTACTACTGGAGAAGGTGTCCCTCCTCTTATTAAAGAAAGGAACACTTGATGCTTTCTCAATTGATGTTCTGGTGCTGGCATTTATAGCCTGACATGTTCCAGAGCTCCTCTAACAGAGAACCAAGTTCCTTTCTCCTTTCTTTAACATGATTTTTTTCCCTACTGAATGCTTCATTTGCTCAAGGGGAATCTGTTGGGGGTCATTCATAAACAGTGGATGAGTTCACAGCCAAAAGCGAGCAGACTGCAACATTACAGGTTTACATAGTGTACTCTGTGGCACCTTACCTCTTTCCTCCTTTCCCTCCATCCGTCCCTCTCCATGCCATCTCACCTCTCTTTTCTCTCTCTCTCTTCCCCTGTACTATCCTACATTTCTCCATCTCATCATCCTGTTTGTCTCAGTCTCTCCACACCATCTCTACAAGCCTCATGATATTAGGACAATGGCGATTAAAGACTAGTCCAAAGGCTCCATGTGCCCCTCAATTGATTATGCCTTTCCATCCCTATCTTAATTTTTAAGGGAATATGACAGCTTGCCTCAAGTCCCTCCCACCTCAAGCACTTCAGGTGGAAATGTGCATTGTGCAAACACACTCAAGCATTGTTCAGGAGTTGCTACTGACACAAAGAGTTGAGGTGGTCTCTCACCTGTCAGCTGCAGTCAGGGAAGGCAATTTCTCCTCCCCAGGTGAAGGGGGTGTGGGGTCACCGAGGATGGACTGGAACTGTGCCTGAAGCTCCCGTGGACGGAGCAGCCTCCCATTGTGGTACAGCAAGACCCGAAAGAAGCGCCCAGCATGGTATACTGCAATGTGCTTGCTGTCCTGCAGATGCTGTATGCTGTCTACAGAGAAGGAATATAAGGACATAAGAGCTCTGTTGGGGTTAGACTAAATGGTCGCCTAGCCCAATATCATGTTTCATCCCACAGTGAGCAACCAGGAGAAAAGGAAGGAGAGGAAATGGGTCATAGATTGATGGACTAGCAATTGCTCTGTACAAGAACCCAGAAATACTCTCAGTATTTCTGACTAAAGATGACAGTGGGTAACAGGCTGGCTCCTTACATAAGGAGTAGCAACACTGCCATGATAGAGCCCTCCACTGTCAAGGTCTTCTTGGGGTTGAAGTGGGACTTTCCTATTTCAAGGGGCAGGGAGTGAATCAAGGATTCTGTGCACAACTAAGTAAAGGCTGAAGTTAGAATCCATTTTTTTATTTTGCAATTCTCAGTTGCCTGCTTGGTTTAAAGGTATAGACAAAACCTGGCTGGGGAACTGGGTTTTAAACTACATGTGTACGCTGAAAGACATGGGACAACCATCCACACACCAGACACTCTCACCACTAGGGAGTGTTCTCTACACATTCTTATAAGCACTGCCTGGTCCAAAACCCACCTGGAGTGCAGCATGCTCTCCAGAGGATTTGCCCTCAACTTTCATTTAAATCATTACTACAAACAAGGAATAGGAAGAATGAACACAGATAACTACTTGTCACTGGCTGAAAAGGAGCCAGAATCAACCATTCTGGGATACAGGATTTTAATGGGAGCTCTAGGTATGTATGTGTGTGGTCAATCAGCCTTCCCCAATCTGGCACTTTAGCTATCTGAACTACAATTCCTATCATCCCCAACATTTGTCCATCCTGGATGGGACTGATGGCAGCTATAATCCCAAACAGCCAGAAGGCACTAAGTTGGGGGAACGAACGCTTGCTCAAAGGTTGTTCATCAAGGAAGGCTGATGCTTCAATGGCCACTTCTTTGTGTGGATCCTCAGATTTTTATACTGAAGGGTGTTTGGGATTTCAGCAGCCATGTCCTTCCTGGCAATCATGCCTTCATACTTTCCTCCACCAAGCCCACTCTCATCCATTAAACACGACCTATTGATCAACTCTGATCTTCCCTTGAAGCAGCCCATTTTTGGCTCAATCTTCCATCTGCCTACTTTGTCTGCAGAACTTCCCCTTACTTCTGTCCACTACTCAAAACCCATCCAAAGTCTAGCTAGGTGGGGAACTTGAAAACACAGGGGACAGTTTACAGAAACTTTGTGGGTGGTGATGCTTAGGAAGGGGAGCAAGTTGTGTGCGAACATCCTACCTTCCTCCATGCCTGGTATACGGGTGGTATTAAATACGCGTTCGTACTGAGCTGAACACATGGGCACACAACCTTGGATCAACATCTGAAAGGGAGGAAGTGAGTAGAAAAAGAAAGGGAGGGGGAAAGAGAGATAGAGCAGTCAAGAAGATATGTCTGCAAAGCTGCTGCAGAGGAAAAGAAAAAAGGAAGGAAGAAAGAAAAAACCTCAGCTCCAGCAGCATTAAATATGCTCCCAAGCACAACGTCTCCCAAAACTGTGTGAGAATCCCCAAATGAGGCAAGCAAAGCTCAGAATACAGAGTCCAGAGGGTCTGTCTGTATGCCTACAGCTTGAAAACATTTTGGACTACAGCTCCCAGACATCATGATTAAGAAGCTAGATTCAAGGATTTGCAGAATGCATAAGTGTGGGAACCAGAGAACACATAATATTTTTTAAAAGGCATCCTAAGTTTATGGACCAAGTTGGAAAGGCCATCAGGAGACTCCATAAAGCAGACACATCAAAAGGACCCATAGTTAGGGGTAGGGTGGCATCAGTTGTTTTATTACAGCCCCTGTTTCACTTACCAAGACCCACACCTGGCAACCGGGTGGTATTGAAGAGACGTTGCCACTGAGCCACACAGAGAGGGATGGTAGAATTAGGAACCATGCTCTTTTGCAGATGGGAGAGAACCCCAGGATTAGAGAGATGGGGGAACAAACAGAATTGTTGTCATGTTTAAGACACTTGATAAATCTAGTACAGTGAAGGAATCTGGGATGCTCCTGACAAAAATGCAATTGTTGTATAAACAAAGGAGCCATATAGAAATTCTATGTCAGGAGTGGGAAATGTGTGACCCTCCAGATGTTGTTGGACTGGAGTTCCCATTGGCCCTAGCCAATTTAATTACTGGTGAAGGATTATGTGAGTTGTAGTTCAGCAACATGTAGAGGATCAAATATTCATTAAGCTAAATCACTTTGATGAAAAGGAGGCCTCCAAAGACATGAGGAGTTCTGACAGAACATAGAATGACTGGCAATAGGATCTTGAGTTCAGCAAGTGGGGCAAACCGATTTTGCTCTCCAGTCTAGGACATTATCTTGGGGATAGCCTATGATGGCAGTCTGGGTTTTATATAGGAACAAATCACTTCCAGACCTACTCTCATTTATTTGCGGCATGCTAATCAAGAGCCAGTGATGTGGCATGGCAGGAATGTTAGATTTAAGGACCTAGTAACTCTTCTATCCCAGCACTGTTTCTGCAATCAGCACTGTGTAATGGTGACTTGCTTCACCTCCAAATAGTACTGCCACATCCACAAAATAGCAATATGGGACAGATGAAATTCATGACATACAGGCCTGACAATAAGATGATAGCCATTAACAAGTTTGTGCTCTGTGAGACTAAATATCAAATGAAAGTATTAATTTGAGTTAATTTTATCATATATTTCTCTGTAAAATTAAAACATGTCGTCTACAATTATAAATTACAAGATGCTCACATTTCTATCTTTACGAAGGACCTACAGTCCAAAATAGAGGCTTTTTGCCATCTTGTTCAGTCTATAAAGGAAAAGCTTTCCAACTCTCAAATAGGGGCATCTTTTATAATGTGACACCTGCCAATCCTATTAGGGATAATCTTTCAAGTAAAGAGCATCCCTTATAATATGTGGCAGCCCTACATCCAAAGCTGCTATTAGGCTCACTGCAGGAAAATACTTATTTCTGTGCCTATATTCTTTTCTTGACAGGGCTAGCACTAACTTAATGGCAAGGGTGAAACCAAATTAAATAAAACATTGGAATCATATGGCCATCCAGATGTTCTTGAACTGCAAGTCCCATTACTCATTGCCATTGCTTGTGCTAACTATATGGCTAATAGGAATTGCAATCCAAAAATGTCTGGAGACTCTCCAGTTGCTTCGATGCAGGTTAAGAAATCAGTGGAGAATGTATTTAAAAAGTCCTAAATGCACCTAATCAAAAGCCTATCCCCTTAGAATAGATAGATCTCCATGCAGATACTATAACCTTTAAAAATAAAAACTGGATCTAATTATGGCTCTCCTACATAAAAGCCACAAGCTCCATTTGGGCACTTGCATGAGCCTATCACCATCTTTCAGGCTGCATAATATACCCAATGATACCCAGAGTGGCATAGTGGTTTAAAAGCTGGACTATGACTCTGGAGACCAGGGTTCGATTTCCAGCTCAGCCATGAAACCCACTGGGCAACCCTGGGCAAGTCACATGCTCTCGGCCTCAGGGAAAGACAATGGCAAACCTCCTCTGAACAAATCTTGCCAAGAAAAGCCCTTAGGGTCACCATAAGTTGGAAACAACTTCAAGGCACACATCAGCAACAACAACATATCCTGTTGGGTCCCCATCCTCAGCAATTTGGGGAAAAGGGTTGGGATGCAAATGTGCTGAATAAACAGTGACTTTGTAGACTGCCAGTGTGCCACAGTGACCACATCTATGGTCATCATAGCAGAAGTCTCAGTCACACAACATTCTCAGCAATTTGCTATGTCCCAAGTGATGGCAGAGACATTATTGTTTATGGGCTGGATTAAACCCAACACTGCAATAAAAAGGAACCAGGAATATTCCAGAATTTTAAAAGACAAAATTAAAAAATCTAGTTAGAAACAGAGAAAGAGAAGGGAAATGATTTAAAGAAATCTTCCTGAACCTGATGCCCTTCAGATGAGTTGAACTACAATTCTTATTTTCCTCATCCAGAATGATGGGAAAGGTGACACAATATGTCTGAAAGGCACCAGGTCCCAAAGGCTGTTTGAAGAGCCAAAATGGCAAGGTTTTTAAAATTTTATTCCCAGTGAAGTTTATTTTGCAATTCTAATCTTCCCTCATTCAGCAGGCTGAAGGAAACTCCCCATATTTATTTATTATTTATTTGCAGTATTTATACCCCACACTTCAGCCATAAAGGCTCTCAGAGCAGTTTACAAATTGTTAATTTAACACTTCCCTGCTCTCAGGCTTACAGTCTAAAATTACATGACACAAAAGGAGAAGAGAATGTCAGTGTGGAAGGGGATCAAGTCCAGCGGATACTGCCAATTCTCTCCCTCCAAAGCCAAGGAGGTGGCAGTTGGAATGGAGGGAGGCTTTTCATATGGCCTTGGGACTCAGCATGATAGAACTGTGTCTGCCTCTTCTCTCCCTCTGAGGCCATATCCCACCTCTCCTCAGTCTAACTCTACCTCTCCATTCATCATCTAGAGCAGCCATGCTCCCCACCCAACTCCACCATGGATTTTGATCTCACTCACCGGCTTGATCTCCTCCTGGGTGAGTTTCCGTCGGTACTGCATCATGGCATAGACAAGATTTCCAGCACGAGCAGCCTGGACCGGAGTAGGGGTTACATAGATGAAATCCTAAAACAAATGTGTGTGGACAAAAGGAGAAAGTGTGCTGATGGGTCAGATAAGCCTAAAAAGAAGTGTCTATCCCCCCTGAAATAAAATTCTCAGTTTTTGAAACTCACCATGACATAATAGTTGCTATTTACCATCAAGGGGCCTCTTCCACGGAGATACACATATTCCTCCCACCAGTCAGTTACCTGGGAAAGAGATAGGGTTGTTGGGGGGGGGGGGAGAGAGAATTTGAAAAGACACAGAAATATACAAACCATACCCAGGGCAAAATGCCCACAGAACCCCTTGTGAGGGCTTCTATCTATCCCCACATCTGCCACCAAATGTGATGATCCTCTTCCTATCCCACTACTATGGCATCAAATGTGGGGACCTTCTAGATGAGTGAAAGACTTTTGTTTGTTTAATCCCACCACTGGACATCATTACCCTTAAATAACTGCTGCCACCAAACATTCCAATAACCCTTGTGTAGTTGTCTCAGATGCACAAATGTATAATACAAAAAATAATGCATTAAACAGAAGTTCAACATACAGTTAAAATTGCTCATTTAAAACAACCAAAACCTGACTAACTTCCACTGAAACTGTCCTACAAACAAACCTTTTTTGAAATCCTTCCAAACATTCACCCATTCCATCATTCCATGCTCTTCTTACCTCCCCCAACAGATTGTTACCATATTACATATATTAAACCTCACCTACATAACCATATTTTATCTTCATTTGTCTAATAAACAAAACTCCCCCCTCAAGTCCATAACATCACACCCCTCTATCCGTCTTCACTCACATAGTTGGCTGCCCACCAAGACTTGACCTTCAGGTACCACTGCAAGCGAGATCCAAGGGTCTGTTCAAAGTCACGGGCAAGTCCTGCCATCCGCTGGAATTCATCATCTGTTGTAAGCGGCCGTATGGACTCCAAATACTAGTGGGGAGAAAGAGACAGGATCAGAAGGTTAGAGTTTGGTCCTCTCCCAAAGCCAAGAGAGCACATCTATCCTCATATAAGTCTCTGCAAAAGCACTTTGTACATGAGACCTTGTAGAACTAAAAGTGAGGGTCCCTGCAGATATGTAATAAGTCCGGAAGGAAGGAAAAAGTGTGTTGGAACATCCAAAATATATATAGTGCCCCCATTTCATACACCTTAGTGTAGCTTCTATTTGTTTATGTGCCGTAAGAAATAAAGAAATTATTTGAAGAAGGAATGTAGCTTCATGGTAGAATGCAAGCCTTGCATGTAGAAGGTTCCAAGTTCAATCCCTGACATCTCTAGGTAAAATGGATAAGCAGAACTTTGCAACAAAAATTGTAGGAAGGGGTGCTCCTAATCAAGATTCCAGCCAGCTATTCCCTTTCCCAGGATTGCTGCTGGTGATAGAGGTGTGTACCTCCAAGTCATTTCTGACTTACAGCAACCCTGAGGCAAACCTATCACAGGCGTTTTCTTGACAAGATTTGTTCAGAAGGGGGTTGTCCTTGCCTCCCCTTGAGGCTGAGAGTGTGTGATTTGCCCAGGGGACACCCAGTGGTTTTCCATGTCTCAGCAGGGATCTGAATCTTGATCTCCCAGAGCTCTAGTGCAACATTAAAACCATTACACCACACTTGTGCTCACCCTCCCAGGATGCTCTATTCCATTTGCCTTCCTCTATTTTTATCTTCAGTCATTTGTGGCATTCTATGACCACTGAACATGCTCAAAGAGCAAGGTCAAAAAGAAAGATAAGACACATCTGAAATAAAGTAGACAATTCTCTACTGCAATCAGACCCCATGACCTGAGTTGAAAAGTAGTCAATCTACCATATATACTTGACTATAAGTGAACTTCATGTATAAGTCAAGGGTAGGTTTGGGTGCCAAAATTATGAATTTTGCCATGACCCGTGGAGAGGTCAAGGCAAAACCTGGAGGCTCCTTCAGTGTGCGTATGTGTGTGCACAGTCAAGAGGGATTCTAACTGAGGCTTTTTGCTTCAGCGTTTCAACTTTGATTTGAGCCTTCATTCCATAGACAGCGGTGGACAGCGCCGGCAGGAGAAGGACTCTGTTTATTTAACCATCAGTAACCACGACTCTTTCTGCTTGGCTCAAAAGAAAAAGGAACTTTTTCCCCACCACATGGGGAAATCTGAAAGAGTTGCTATCACATTACCATACAGACTTGTAAATAAGTCAACCTGGGATTTTGGGGTCAATTTTTGGGCATACATTTTTAGACTTATAGATGAGTATATACCAGGGGTAGGCAACCTAAGGCCTGGGGGCCGAATGCGGCCCTCTGAGGTCTTTGGACCGGCCCCAGGCTGGTCCTGCTGCCACCGCTGCCTCCCACCATGATGATATTGATTATTGTTGTTATTACTTGTTCTTGGGGTTTTATTGGCAAAATCTCCACAGGGGTTTTGCCATGGCTTTTCTGGGGCTGAGAGAGTGTGCATGCATATTTTTTAAATTTTTTAATATTAAAAAATATTTCTATATTTATTTATTTATTTATTTATTTTTGGTGCTTCGGCCCCCCAATTGTCTGAGGGACAGCAACCCGGCCCGCGGCTCAAAAAGGTTGCCTACCCCTGGTATATATGGTAGGTCTGGAAGATCGCAGTTATGTAATTCATCACACGGGGGCAGCAATCAGCAGTTCGTGGCAGTCACACAGACCAAGAATGTTGGGTTCTTCATGGTTGGACAATTGTTATGCACAGGGTGAAAAGATTTGACAATAATTCATCTTTGTATTTAATGTGTAGGATTTTTTTATTAAAAAATTAATTACAATTAATTTTAAAAATAACTAGAAGCATGCTGACAATTACTGAGATTTTAAAAGGCACAGAGGAACAAATTGAATCCCTTTCTCTCCTACTGCAGTTATGAGGAATATCTGTCTTCTGA